GCCTTTGTCCTCACAAGCCAAGGACAATAAGGTTTCATAATATCTTTTCCATAAAAATATATTTAATGTTTGTATTATTTAATACTTTGGACTCCATACAGAACAAATATCATAATTGCTAAGTAAATCTACATCGCTTTTTTATTCCCTGAAAATAAATGCAAATTATAGGATTTCTAACACTCCCCCAATGTGCAATAAATCAACGCCACTTTGATTAAATCAGACTGGTTATGATACAACAAAGCAATAGTAAGAATAATTTATCACACATTAGGGGAATCCAGAGCAGCTCATGCAAACGACATGAGAAGAATGTGCAAAACATTTGCACACAAGCGGGTTAGGAGCCTGTTTCACACACCCCAAGACCCTGAAAGTGTGAGGAGACCCCACCAAGCCACTGTGCCGCCCCATGGCATTTGTGTGTGTGTGTGTGGGTTATGTATATATTACATTGTGGGGAACAAATGTCCCCACAATGTGATAAAAATGTTATTTTGACTTTGTGGGGACATTTTTTCAATTCCCACAAAAGGAAATTCAAATTGAATCTAATCTAAAAACTAAAGATATCTTGTATTTGATTTAGTTACGTATGGTTATGGTTAGGGCTTGGTAGGGGTTCATGTTGGGATTAGAGTTTTCCCCATAGAAATGAATGGAGAGTCCCCACAAAGATATAATTATGAACCTATGTGTGTGTGTGTGTGTGTGTGTGTGTGTGTGTGTGTGTGTGTGCATGGGCCTGCACCCTGTCATCAATGGGCATCCTGTTAAGGATTCCCCTGCCTTGTACCCTACGCTGCCTGAGACCCTGCACTGGATAAATGGCTGGAAGATGCATGAATAATTGTCTATTCCCCAACCACTACTCTTAATACAATCGGACAATTTCCTTCATGTAAATAATTAGGCATTTGTAGGACATTTTACGGTTTTTAAATGTGTTAGTTGTGTATTGACAGGTTTGCCCACTGCTTCCCTTATATTAGACATTATAATGTCACCAGTGTAGCCTGAAGCGCTGGGAAAACCCCAGATGGTGACTAACATGATTTTAGGGCAGGTGAGCAAAGGTCGCTAGAGGTGACAGACTGGCTCTCAGCTGAAGGTGGGAATGCCACCTGGGGCGTGCTTTGAGATGAGGCTCATGTCACCTAGGTCATCAGATCTGGAGTCCCTGTCAGATAGGGAAGGCCAGTCTGAAACCCCCCATCAAACCTGTGCTGCGTGTCCTCTGGAGACACCAATGGGAGGGGTTAAGAGAGTGCATGGTAGAGGTGTGTGTATGTGGGGGTGCCTTTCTGGAAGGACGTTTCCCTACTTTCAACAAAGGATTGAGCTTTTTAAGCGGAGCTTTATAAAAGCACTTTGTGAATCCTAAATTTAGGGTTGATTATGGTTCTGCCATCTACTGAGGAGTTAATAAAATTGATAGTGTGGTGAGTTAAAACCCAAGACTTTGTGTTCTTCTACAACCCCCTATACAACAACATTATAGAGGTGTTCATTTGATAAAATACATAATTGGTTACTTACTTATAAAATGATTTCAATATCGTTAGTGACTATAGGAAAACCTTAGGAACCATAACGGTGAGCTTTTTATGTCTGGGTAATCATTCAATTTCTTTTGGGAAAGTGTTCTCTGAAAGAATTGGATTGCAAATGTGTATACATTGTTTTTAACATAAAAACATTGTAAAAACAAACATGCAAAATTAAGAGGTGTGTGGTTAATTCTTAATGTTTTCCTTAATGTTCACAGGCTTGTAGCACTAGATACATTTCATTGAAATTACTGCCAGGATTGAGTTTAATGGAAACCCAAATGATGCTGAACGTGCACAAGGGCTCCAAATGTCACCAAACTTCATTCAAAACTGGACCCAGCCAGGCACAACAAGAAGGGAGGACCTAGCCAAGCCCCCCTCTGAGACCCAGGACCAATAGACAGCCATCTTTCCGCATTTGCAATTTCTAGGAGCAAGCTGATAGGGCAACTTAAAAAGCCTGTAGGGCCATCAGATGTGTATCCCAGTCACTGCCAGTGCTGAGGCTTGAGGCTTCTAGCCATTGCTATAGCTGATAAGACTAGATAACCTCTTTTACAGTAAAAATGTACTTTCCCAATTTATTCCTGAGACAGCTGTATCTCTCGCCTGCTATTACATCTACCTAGTGTAACGTTTTGGATGAAGCCTAAATAATTCAGGGGGATTCCACATATGATATATCCAGATCATGTACTGGTGCTCTGTGCAGGGTTGGGGGCTGACATCACTGGCAGACGAAATGCAACGTGGCGTTTTTTTAAACAAGTTTAAGTGAAGCCTTTATTCATATTAACTTGCATAGCTAATAGGTTACATGTATACATATATACATGTATACACATATATATAGTATGTGCTGGATACTGCCTCAAGCAATTTAAGCAATGCACCTAGATCAAGCGTCGTCTGATTTGCCTTGGGAAATTTACCTGCCAATTAGATCACCAGTACTTCATAGGAATGTCGAGGCCCCATGTTGTTGGGCGTGCCACCACTGAGCTCTGCCACCAGATGGCGCTCTTCATGAAGGAAGGTGTTTTCCATTTTGCATGCTCCAGGTAGACCTGTGGTCCAGCAGTGTGTTTTGGCAGTGTGGAAGTGAGTTTGGGAGGTCTGTCTCTGTAACATGGGGGGGGGGTTAGGAATAAAGTGGAGAACTGACTCACTCGTTTCACGTGACACAGCCCTTCACTGTGGCCCTTCTCTGACCCACCACCCATTTTTTATACCTTGTTTCCAAAATGGCTGCCTTTGTTTTTGTTCCTCCCCACGAGTTTTGTTAAATCCAGCCCCAATCCTGTGTCCAAATAAAGTCCCCATTCTTTCCACCCATCTCCATGTCATGTGGTTCTCTTCTGCCATCCTGCCCAGAGCAAATCTTGCAGTCAGGTTCCTAAAGTGAGGTATGATGCAGTTTGACCCGGAGATCGCTAGGTTTACTATAAAAATAAAGAGTTCATGATGACAGGGTAATCTCATATTAAATGTATTTTGTCCCTGAAGTGAAAAGCAGGTCTTATCATCAAGTGCTTAAGCATTCGTCAATGTAAATTTTGCCTTGAAACTCAATTTCTGCTCCTAATATTAAGCTTTTAAACAAAATATGTATACATCGTTAGTTATCCTATCGCTGCACATCTGTAGCTTCTCTGGAGGTCCCTTCTAATCTAACCTTAAATGCTTTTTTGCTTAGATCTCCAACTTTTCAACTCTAAGTGTTGTTTAATGGCAGGAAATAGACAATTTACCTTGAGAGGCTTGAACTTTAATTTTTTTTGATTAAGGGTTTAAGACAGAGATGTATTTAAACTAAAAGCACAAGAATATAAAAGTGAATTCAGGAAAGGAAATGTTGCAGACCGTTCGTCCCAAGTGTTCACTCTGACAAGTCCATCTCCATGGAAACATGAATCACACAAGCAAACATTGTAATCATGTTGTGCATTCTCCCCCCCGTCACTCCCCATGCTGACCTCAGTTTGCCCAGCCAGGCTGGCTCCACGAGCAAGCCGCCCAATGAGCTCGCATGGGGGGTGGCCGTGTAGATTAGGAGTAGGGAGCCTGTGAGACTGGCCTGAGTTACAACTCTGACGCTACCAGGGAACAAGTGCACCCTCCAGTCCAGGGAAGCGGGAAGTTCCACGGCCCGGAATTCATCACGCAGAACCAAGCCGCAAATAAAAATGTGTGTTTCCCCAGCGGTGTAGCAAGCAGCAGGGGAAAAAAAAGACAGAACGGAACTGAACCGGACATCGTGTCTCAGTGGTTAACAGCTAAATGTGTAACGTGTCGAGCGCAGGGCGTTTCACAACAGGCAAATTTAGCTGACAAGCTCTAAAACACGTACATATGTACACATGGGACAGCCTTGAGTATCATTTTGAAGATGGAAACTTTCCCACTTTGATTACCCATTTTAACTCAAAACACTATATCAAACGTCCAAGCAGTCTGATATATTTTGTTGTCTTTGGAAACGTCTTAGGGGGACTCAAAATAATTACGTGCACGCAAGACTGACCACTTGCAAAAAAAGAAACCTTGTGTAAGTCCTGCAGTTACAGTAAAAATTACCTCACTGTTGTGGAGCCTTGATTAGATAAATTTAATGAACATCATTTCAGGGTTGATTGTGTGGTTCGTAGTCAGCATAAGCCCCGTACTGATTGGGGAATTACGCCAGCATTTGCAGGCATGTCCTGCCTAAGGGTATCACCACTCTTTAGTGTCCTTCAGCTTGTTATTTAACCCGAGCTACTCCAGTTAAATGTGAACAGGGAGTAACTGCAAGCTGCCGCCGACGAAGAGGCGACTATACGAATCGCAATAGCTATCACTGAGAAAACCTCCATGCGGTCGTCTGCGTTTGATTTTGACTTTGTGAGATTTCAGTTAATTATACTTTGATATCATTTTTTCAGTGGAATTCCCCTTCAAAAACCTTCTCCTAGCAAGTCATTATTACACAGGTACACTTCACAGACATGGGCATGTCTGCTTATTTCCTCATGCTTTTGCCTGCTATATCGCTTTTCATTACAAAATAATTAGCTGAATAAATTCCAGTAGGTAAAAGCATTAGCAGAATTAATTATTTATCTTTAATTTTGACACGGTGACCTTTCAAAAGAAAGTCACATTCAGTACAAAGATAACCAAAAACACTATTAATACTATTAATACAATTAATATAAGGCTGACGCTTCCAGGCCTAATTAATCTTTTGTGTTTGTTTGACTTTGAATTTTTTTTAACGATTTGTATGTTATCATGTGTTTCTTAATCTGTGTCATTGCTGTCAATCAAGAGCTGTTCATGCAACATCTAATGACCATTTTTCTTTATCTCTCAGCAAGGTCGAGTTTATTGTGGCACAGTGTCATTCTTTAGGCCAGATATTGTAATTATCTTCCTAATTGTTTATTCATTGTTTCTCGGCAGTAATGTTCCAAGCAAGGAAACAGAGCAAGCAAGCATCCTGGAATGGACGAAACCCCGGCAGTGATGTAGAAGGTTACATTACCCTAGTCTGTCGTCATCCTGATTGGCAGGCTTTGGCCACTATACCCGGAGTGGAACAGGGTGAGCGATTTGAGGCACTACAGGTTGTGTTAGTGCTCATATTTGAGGTACAGTGATACTGAATAGTTGCATACTTAACGTATCATGTTAAAAAAAGTCAAAGAATTGCTCCTTTTGGTTGGCTCCTTAAATCCCAGATTGTTAATGCTTCCCTCTCCCCCACAATAAATTGAATCCATTCATTCCATTCCTATTTTCCCAGAACTGCTTTATCCATGTAGTGTCACAGCGAGCCTGGAGCCTGTGACTGTCCTGGGATGCACAGTGCATGAAACAGAAGACATTCAGGACACAACACCAGCCCGAAATGAGGACACACAAAGGGCAATTTAGACACCTGTTTACGTAAATGAGTTACGTTTCATATAATTGTAAATGCAGACTTTCACAATCAATGGTTATTTTTCCGCTGTGGCTTTCTCTGTGGGCTAGTTCTCCTGCTGAGAGTCTGTATTCTATTAAGAAGGACACTCCAGAAAGGCTGTGCGATGTTTCCTTGTTCTGAAGCGCCGGAGGGAACGCGGAGACTCTCGAGAGGAGCTAATCACACATGGCGGCGTTCGGCACGGGCCGCGTGTTTGATGAGGGAATCAATAGCCTTAATAATAACCTTTTCTCTGATGGCTGTGTTCTCCGTGGTTGAGAGGGAGCTGCCCCCCCAGGGATCCGCACCGTTAGGGCCTTGGGCTCTGCAGGCACGCCGCTTATACGTCGTCCTTTCCGATGTCTGGGAAACTTCGCTACAAGTTTGCTGCCGAAGCTGACTAGGGGAATGCCTCGGACTGCTAGCTATAGTGCATCAAATGGGGAGGAAGTTGGGTTAGAATTCTGTGGCTCGTCTTCTGTCCCGCCTTGCCCAACCAACAGGGAACATTAGAACATGAGAACATTATGAACAAAGGCTTTGTGTGAGTTTCTGCGAGGGGAGGGGTGGGGGGTACGCTGATCTTTCAGATGTCTTCCACCAACATTGCCCCTCAAGCAGTACAATTTAACACCCTTTCAATACTGGCAAGGCATTTCAGGTGAAATGTTACCGACGCATCATGTCTGGATTGAGCCCGATGAGGAGTAAGCAGGGGGTGAAACTCTGAATCCAGGTATTAGAATAATTGCCAAGATTGGAGGGCAGGTCACTTTACCAGCCTGTGAATCAAACAGACTCTGAACTCTATGTGTGTGGGTGTATATATGCATTTATGTTAAATTTAGAAAGTTGATGTAGTTGTGCTTGTGTGTGCCTCTGTGTTTGTGTGTGTCTGCATGTGTGTGCAAGTCTCCCCTCGACTCGCTCTTACACTGATATCCCGCATAGCGGCTTTGATCTCAGACTCCAATAGGGAATCAAAGATCATTTGGATTTTCATCAAAAAACAGTAGGAGATCACTGCTATCAAAATTCCTATCTCGCAATGGTGCCTTTCCCTCCTTACCTCTCCCTGCCCTTCTGCAGAGGTGGGAAGTTCAGGTCCCGAAAGTACAAATCCAGACCAAGATTTTGTTTCAACCAACCAGTTCAGTATAAAGAGTCACAGTCACAGAGTAACTCAACTGGTTGGCTGAAACAAAATCATAGCCTGGATTTGTACTTTCTGGACCTGAACTTCCCACCTCTGCCGTTCTGTATACTCTTAGTGCCCAGTACTCCTGCTCATTAGTGCAAACAGAGTTTACAGAGAATGGTATGATAAAAAAATACAACTGGGGCAGTTCTGTGGCTGAAAACACCTTGTTAATGAGAGAGGTCAGGTAATGGGAAGGCAGAAATAACAGCTCAGAACGACATTGGTGTGCGGAAAAGCTTCTCTGAATGCACGACTCTTCAATCCTTGAAGTGGTTCTGCAAACAAACAAGAGTTCAGCCTGGTTCTACATGGATACAGACCCTTAATTGCCATCTTAAATGCCATGAATTTTCCCGGGGAACTAATGGTTTGTGGGACAGTAACATTAATCAAGGGACCCCCCTGACCAGCAAAGTTCATTGTTGGCATGTTTCGCGGTGGGCCTGTCCGGGGTTAGCCCAGCCCAGCATAGAAGTACCTAATAAAATGGCCACTGTGAGCGGCTCTGACTTAAGTCTGTTGCCTTTGTTGAGATGTCATTACTACTATTAACTTTAATTAAGATTAGCGTTAAAGAATTTATAGTTGGCACGTCAGATTTTAAGTCAGTCAATCAGGATTTCCCCACATTCACTCTGTCTCTGTCAAATTTACATGCTGATTTTCCCTCTCCTGACAGGGGAGCTGAAAATCTCTGAGACCTATGACTCTTGAGAGAAATGTGTATCCCAGTGAGGCCAACACAGAGTCAGCTGGAGGTGCTGGCTAAAAGTGAAAGCAAGTATTCTAAAATTATTTTCCATCCACATGAGTACTAATGTCCCACTGAGAAAATGCTAAGGAATATTCTATCATTTACAGTACCTCTCCCTCTAATCTCAAACCAATACCTTATTGCAGGGTTTCCCAACCCGGTCCTTGGGGACCCCTGGACAGTCCATGTTTTTTCCTCCCTGGGAGGGAGCAGAAATGTGGATGGTCTGCGAGGGACTAGAAATGTGGACGGTCTGGGAAGGAGCAGAAATGTGGATGGTCTGGGAGGGAGCAGAAATGTGGATGGTCTGGGAGGGAGCAGAAATGTGGACGGTCTGGGAGGGAGCAGAAATGTGGACGGTCTGCGAGGGACTAGAAATGTGGACCGTCTGGGAAGGAGCAGAAATGTGGATGGTCTGGGAGGGAGCAGAAATGTGGACGGTCTGGGAGGGAGCAGAACTGTGGATGGTCTGGAAGGGAGCAGAAATGTGGACTTGGTTGGGAAACGTTGCCTTAGTGGAATCAAACTGTCAAAAGGCACAAAAAAATCACTCTGTGTTACCACTGATTTATGAGGATTTATTTTGATTTCTGCTTTATGCTGGAAGAGGTCTTACATTAAATCAAGCACGAAAAGTGATATGAGAACTAATTAAAATAGTACCGACATTGTGTAGCTCTGTCTTATCTAATTTACAGAACAGGTTTTGCTTTAATAAAGTTGCTAAGCTAATTGAACGAGGTGGTACATAATCAGCAAATTCACTTGTTATTTAGTGCTGACAACTAAGAATTTCTGTCATGCCAATATTGTGCAAATCAGAGGTCAATATCCAAACTAAACTTAATGCAAAGAAGCAGCTTTTGTTCTTAATTAGACTGCCCATGTTTGTCATCTTAAATACTTATCTTTTGGGTTCTCAAGTCTCTTAAATGTAATTGAGATCCTCAGGCGGCCTTTATCATGATGGTCTTTCACAATCAAAGAGCACCTGCTGATTTCCAGGTTCTGCCCTCCCAGATAAAATGGTCCCAGAGACAACCTCAGGGTGAAAGGGAGCCCCAAAGGTGCCAGAGATCAGATGAGAAAAGACCTTCGTCTGTTTCTCATTTTGCCAATTAAGCTGGTGCAGCTGCAAGCTATGGTGGGATATTAGGAAATGTGGTGCAGTGAGACAGACTGAAAGGTAACAAGGCAAACAATCTGATGGTCTGATAGCAAAGAGGAAAACCAGACAGCTAATATGGGAATATCCAAAAGGCTGCCATTATAAGGGCCTCTAAGTTTGTAAAGGTGGCACTAGCGCTAATGCTAATGGTATTTCTAATGTTCTTTTATATAGACCCCGTTGTCAAGGTCCTGAATAAGCAGCTGGGAGATGTATGAGTGGGATGGAATCCTCAAGGAACATCATGCAGTTTTCATCAAATGGATCAGGGAAACATTGCCATGCAAACATTGCCATTTTGTTCTGTTTTTAAATTCCATTTCTAAGAGTGAATATATATGTACATTTTTTTGGACGCAGGATGGTGGAGCACACCACCTCCTGGTGCGAAACTTTAATCACCATGAGAAGCAATTCTCTGTTGCGTTTAAGGGTGGTAGGAGGTTATACTGACTGCTATTTCAGGGCAATACATATATATATATATAAATATATATGTACCAGTTTCCAGCTTAAATATAGCTCTATATCTGGACAGCATACTGTATAAATACCTTCCTGAGCAGTGCAATATGTGTTTATTTCTGGTTTCCATGGTGACAGAATCATCTCCCCTCCCTGGCTATCTCTTACTGTACAGTATAGTAGACAAATACCTCCCAAGAGCTATGTCACTTATTAAAAACAAATGAGTTAACAATATCAGTGTAAGTATGCAGAGTTTATTGATATATTGAATATGTTGTAATAGTGCTAGCCTTGGTAGTTGATAAGCAAGCGGTCTGACTGTACTCCTCTGCTGAAGCACAAAGGACACTTGTCTCCAAGGAAACCAAAGAAACTGTACACATAAGCCATTGAAGCTGCAACGGGAAAAGAAAAAAGCTGAAAAGTACATATTGTATAAGGGAAGATGGGTGGGCCCCTTTCTTTGGAGTGGATTCTGTAAGTGTGATGTTTACTTCAGGTTACCATGGCAGCGCTCTTTCTGAAAGATGAACACCCCTCTCTGGCTGTTGTATGGACTCTCAGATAAGACAAAAACAAGTATGGGTGTGTAGGAGGGGTTCATTAGCAATTAATAACATTTTCATGCTTCTTTCATAGTCGATTGTTCTTTCTCGTATTCTGGTTGGGCCTATTTGGGTTGGCCGTCTGGCAGCCCTCTGGGCAGCCCCAGGTTCGCTATGTGCCATAAAGCTCTGTATCCTTGTAAGTATCTTCTGCTGCCCCTCAGTTTTGCAGACTCGTGTGTGCGGCTACACATACGGTACCAGTCAAAAGTCTGGGCACATCTGCTTTTAATGCATTTTTTCCTGTTTTAGCTTGTTATTCACCTTACAGTAAAAGGCCTTGAGGCAGTGACATAAAATACATCGAATATTGCCATGAGCAACAGAAATGTTCAACATCACCGAATTTTCAAAAATTTTACACTCTTTAAAGTAGCCCCCTTTCGCTTTGATGACGGCATCGCAGACTCTTGCCATTCCTTCAACCAGCTTCCACATGTAGCCACCTGGAACGCTTCTCCAACAGTCCTTAAGGAGTTTCCACAGGTTCTGGGCACAGATTTGCTACTTTACTCATACGCTTCAATCCAGCTCCTTCCAAACCAGCTCCATAGCGTTTAGGTCGGGGGATTGTGGGGGCCAGGTCATCTGTCACAAGATGATACAGTACTTACATAACCTCGAGGTTTGCTTAGGGTCATTATCTGAAATAATTTTCAGTAAGTGTATCCAGAATTTTGACCGGGACTGTGTATATACACATATAACAATTTGTTACCTTTGTTTTATTACAGGGTCTATGATATTGCTTTTCTGCTTTAAATTAAGGTGAATAGAATATACACATATACACACTCACAGCCATACACGCGTCCATAGGATGCACACTTTCAAGTGTCAGCCCTTCATTGCATTCAGAAGGAAACTTCTGGGCTATGCTGTCAGATCAGTAGGACGGCCGCCCACTCAGGAACGGTGCTGCCAATTAGAAACACTACTGCACTCCCTGGCAGACATCCAACCCACCTGCCTGCTGCCATGCTATGCCCGCAGGTTAGTAACAGGTGCTGAACTCTCACCTTTCAGATTACAAGATTTATACCACCCTGCTGAGTATTTTG